CGCCCCCGCCGCAGCCCTGGCTGCAACTGCCCCCCGATACTCACGCTTTGTCCACCAGCTCCCGCACCTTCCACATGTTCAGCATCGCGCCCCGCGCGGCCCGGCCAGCCGCCTCCCGCCGCCGCTGCCCACGGACCCAGGGACGCCTCCGCGCCGGGGCAGGTCCACCCCAGGATCGTCTCCACCGCCCGCCGCCAACTCCCCGTCGCTCGAGCTGCTTCCCCCAGCCACAGTCGCGGCGCCGCCGGTGACACGTCGAGACGCGGCCGCAGCACTGCTGCGTGGGGCGGAAGTGGCCGGCTTTCCGCCCGCGCCGCGCGCCGCACGCCGGGAGTTGTAGTCTATCCCTTGCGCTCCCCGAGTGGCCGCGGGCTGAGGTCGCTGGGGTCTTCCCGGCCAGCCCCAGACCTGCCTCGCGGAGACTACGCGCTGGGGACCATGGATACCGCTTTGGTCCTGGAGATTCCGAGCTTAGCCGCTGATGCATGGACGTTTCACCCACGCTCATTCTTCAAATGTTAAGGATGATGAACGCAGGGTATGAGTTGCATGCGTAGTCCTCGTTTACGCACGCGTCTCTGTATGGGGTGCCAAACGACCAGACGTCTTTACATCTCTGGACTTTAGTTTCGAGCCCTGTACAGTAAAGAAGTTTATTCTAAATCCTTTCCCACTCTATGAGACAATGATTTTCTGTGTAGACAGCTACATGGTACCCTCGTTGGATACTTTGTTTCAAACCTCTGAAACCAACTTACAGTGCTTGCGAAACTGGGAAGGCACCACCCTGTATACACACATACATATATATTTTTAGTGTGTGATCCGCCCAAGGATTAAGCAGGTTTAGTTTCTAAAAGAATAGATACACACTGGTTTCTGGGATTTGTTAAGTGGTTTTCGCCAATCACTTTTCCACTCAATTCAGTTAATGCTCATGGATAAAACTTTAATGTAACCTTAAATTTTGTTTCATTCAACTCCTTAAGTTTTATGTCTTTGTCCTGTGTGGTGCAGCACACTTCTCATTTCAACACTAGAGAGGCGAAGGCGAGCCTGTCCCTGTGAGTTCAAGGCAAGCCTGGCCTACATAGTGAGCCCTGTCTCAAAAAAATTAAAGGATTGGGGCTGAAGAGATGACTCGGTGGTTAAGAGCACTGACTGCTCTTGTAGAGGACGATGGTTCGATTCCCAGCACCCACATGGCAGCTAACAACCATCCATAGCTCCAGTTCCATGGAATCTGATGCCCTCTTCTGACCTCTGCAGGCACTGCCAACATGGGTGGAATACACTCATACACATGAAATAAAAAAAAAATAATAAACATAGGATTGGCGAGATGGCTCAGTGGTTAAGAGCATCTACTTCCAGAGGACAGTTCAGTTCCCAGCAACCATGTCAGATGGCTCATAACTGCACTGCCTGTAACTCCAGCTACTGAAGTATCTGATGTCTCTGACTTCCACACATATTTCCACACACAATTATAAATAAAATCTTTTAAAAAGAATTACAGTTTTTATTCTGCAACTGTTTAAGACTTTAAAATATATTTTGGGTGTATGAGTGTATCGCCTACATGTGTAAGTGCATCCATTTCGTGCAACGCCCATGGAGGGGTTGGAGTTCCCTGGACCTGAAGTTACAGACGGCTGTTAGCTGCCATGTGGGTACTGGGAATTAAACCTGGGTCCTCTTCAAGAGCAGCCAGTGCCCTTAGCTGCTGAGCCATCTCTCCAGCCCTATTCTGCAACTGTTTATTGAGCATATCCAGTGTGGCACAACTGAGGACTACAGCTGGGACCTGGTTCTCTAGGAGCTTAAGGGTTGTTGGAGAAACCTAACAGTCAAGAAAACATCTAATTAGAGATAATACATGCTTCTTAAAGTCAAGAATATAATATTATAGACAATGATGTTAGAAGAAAACAACAGGAAATACATGGGCTCTTTGAGGAGACTGAATAAGCTAAACTGAAATGATAAAAGGGACTGGCTGTAAGAGCTACAAGAAAAGGTTTACTCGTGAAGGGAGCATATGAAAACCAAGATTAATGAAGGGAAACAGGTGACTGCTAGACCTTTAGTATCAATGGTCCCTGGACCTCTGACTGCTGAGCCTTCAATCAGGACACCTATTCAGTTTGCATAATTACTTAGTTATTTAAAGCAGCTTTGAAAGGATTCCAGTAAGGCTTGAAAAAAGCAAAGTGGAGACATACACAGAGAAAAAATCAAGACAATGCTTCCTCACAGATTTGTCAACATAAGGGTTCTTGAGATCAAGAGCTTTGTAAGTTGGCGTGGTATGTTGGAAGGGGAGGCAAAGAGGTAGAGAATTGGGGCTTTCAAAAGAAAAGTTTGTTTTTCCTGTTGAAAGCATTGTCCAGCCCGAGGTTCAAAGGATGGAACGTGGCCAGAGCAGATAAGAGAAATTGCTTTGCATAAATAAGAACTCAGCAAGTTAACTTTCAAACAAATCAGTCCAGAGTACACCTGCAGGGTGGGTTTGGCACAAAAACAACCAGCTTCTCTGCCCTGGGTCTGAATGCTCATTCACAGCACGGAATAGCCAGCTGTGCCAGAGTTTATCCACAAAGCTCAATGCCGAGTGAATTTCTCAATCCAACATCAAGTCTGGGTATATCTAGACTTAAACAGAGTTGTCACCTGTGGCATGTTCAGAGCCTGCTGGAGTCATCTGGAATGTTACACCAAAATCCTTTCTGTACACCTATCTCTTCAGAAAGCCCCCAAAGGGCTCCAAGAGAGTTTGTTAAAAGTGGTCTCTAGAGACTAACCATTTGCATATCAACAAAGTGTTCCATTTTTACCTTTTATCTGGCAAGGTTGAAAGCAGTTTCCATGGTAACTTCTTTATGGCAAGTTAAATATGTCCATGGTAGAAAAATAAATGAGAAAACACCCCACCCAACCCTTCTTGGGAAAACTTTGTTTTTCACTGAACGAGCTGACACTTTTAGTAAGGGTAAACCAACACATGCTTTGAAAGAAAACATGCTCAATTGTGTTCATTATGTGTGAGCAACAGTTGCAGACATGGGACGCTGACTGCTTAGTTCAGGTGGTTGGCTCCTGAGTGTTCTCCTTGGGTGAAGTTTGATTTACATTGCACAGGTGTAGCAGCCAGGGGACGGCACTGTTAACATTTGAGGTCGGGAGTTTCCAGGATCTTGGCCTCTTAGTCAAAGAATTGAAATGAGGACTTACACTGATTTTCAAAAGTAGCAAGGTAACTTTATTAAGAGCAAAGCAATAAAAATGTCAGAATACACTGCAGGGCACAGGAGGGAAAGCACTCAAGGACCCCAATTATTGTTTGGGGCTTCCTTTTATTGGGTTCAAGAGAAGGAGGAGTTTAGTTGCTAAGGGGCATGGTAAGGGTGGTTGTTTTGGTTAATAGATTAGGTCACATGCTGTTGTACATGTCCCTTCCCACAATGCATCTGATTTTAATTCTATGCATATCAATTTATGCATAGACATAAAGATGGTAAATAGGGGATTCTCTCTAAAAGTTCACTTGAGGACACAATTTTGCCTTACTGTTTATGCACCGAAAACCACTTCAGGCCAGATAGGACTTTCCATTCTTCATACCAAACACATTGGGAATATATCTAAACAGAAATTGTCTAAGTTTGATTGCTGTTAGGTGAAGAGAAATTGTTTGGAGAGAGAGACGGATAATTCAATGCAGGTGGGGATCAGAGGTTGCTAAGTACATTGCTCAGAGAGGGCTGTGTGTGTATACTACATGCAGATAAAGGAGCTAGGTTGCCAAGTGCATTTTTAGAAAAGGAGGGTATGCATAACCCAAGCCAAGTAAAGTCCTGGGTTACTAAACTGTTCCCTATACTTGCCCACATGGGGACCATCCAAATGATTAAGACACTCTGCACACCTTTAATCCCAGTACTCCAGAGACAGAGGTAGGCAGATCTCTGTGAGATTGAGGCCAGCCTAGTATACATACCAAGTTCCAGACCAGCTGGGCTACAGAGAGACCCTATCTCAAACAAACAAAAATAATAAATTAAAATTTAAGATCTACCTTATTAATATCAAATATCCTATATGGGCCCCAGCTTTTTCCTCATGAACCTACAGGGTACCCTAAACCTAGCTACTCATCATAAATTCACAGGCATCTTTTAAAATGCCAGATTCTCTTGGCCTACCTCTTGAACTTGATTCAGATCTTCCACACACAGTTCTTTGCAAGTAACAGGGATTTATTTAAAACTACCTTAGGACCGGGTATGGGGGCACACATCTCTAATCAGCACTCAGGAGGCAGAGGCAGTGGGATCTCTGTGTGTTGGAGGCCAGCCTGGAAACTTACATAGCAAGTTTCAGGTCAGCTGGAGCTAAATAGTGAAACCTTGTCTCAACTGGTTCCCCATATCCCCCTGAGATATACCTCAGGGAAAGAGCTCCTGCCTGGCATGCACAAGGTGAGACCCAGAACCATTAACAAATAGCAGAACTGGAAATGGAGGAGTTTGCTTCTGGAATTTAAGTATTATCAGAATTTTCTCTCTGATTCCCCTTTTACCTCAAGGTGTCTTATAGTTGGGGGTGGGGAGGGCTACCACTTGGTGCATAGTTAGCATTTGTTTTCATTACGCCTGCTGGGGGACGAGGTCCTTTTTGTCTAACCAGAAGGCTGACATCGCGGGTAATGACTCTGATTGATCCACTCTGGAACATGTGTTCATCTAAATAAGGCTAATCATCTCCAGGGGTAACTGATTAGCCTGGTTTGGCCGACATGCCCATCGCTCACAGCTGACTTTAAGGAATGGCCGGCTCTAGCTAGTAGAACCATTCCAAGTGAGGAAAGAAGGTTCTCCAAAGAAATGCTGGAGAAGACAAAGTCAACAGTTGTTTACAACTGTTAAGTCTAGGAATCTGCATTTTGAGACAGAACAACAACAAAAGTAATTTTGCCAGAGCTGGGGATAACCTGGCCTAGATGGTTCCGCTCTTTGTAGCGGTCTGAATTCTGCAGATGTGGTTGGGTTAGGAAGAGCAAAATGAGAAGAAAAGCATGGAAAATAACTGAAAAGACCACTGAGAAAGAAGGCATGAAGGGCCTGTGGCTGCCGCGGGCTGCTGGGGGGCAGTAGGTTAGCCTACAGCAGAGCTTGCTCCCCCCTCCCCGTGTTCTGCCACCTTTGGGCTCTTCTTGGCTGAAACTCAGTTGCCTTACAGGGCCCTCATCAGGGTTCAGGTGGGCCTCAGAGAGCCTGGTGGGCA